GGGCCAGCCGGGTCTGGGTCTCGCCCAATGGGATGGGGCTGGCTGGGTCTGGGTCTCGTGCGATTTCAAAGCACTCACGGGTGGGTGGGGACATGACTCTGAGTCCTGTGGCACGCCCCAGACTCTGACAGGAGGGAGATTTTCATATACATTTTACTAATTTTCTTTCATCTCTGACACTTCTATTATCGAGATAGGGGAATTAGCAATTTTAAAATATTTCCTCTAATTAATTCCCTTTTAATGCACACAAATTTTGTGCACCAGGCTACTAGTTTAAAAAAATTAATTCCCTTTTAATGCGCACAAATTTTGTGCACCAGGCCACTAGTTTAAAAAAAAAAGCATATCTAAGAAAGGTGAGAAAAAAATGAGTACCATGTAGAAATGTGAGGGTTAGTACAGTGTAATGAAAAGGGAAGCAGGAAGGGCTGTCCTTTTACTCATAGAGAAAGGAAACCATTACTAAATTCAGAAAAGTTGCATAGAAAGAAAATCATTTAAAATGCATTAGGGAGCTAGATTTTAAATTTTCTTGTGCCTAGTCTTATTATAATGCAAATAATCTTCTACCTCGTAGGTGATCTTGAGTTTCCTACTACTAGCTTCTAAGACTTAAAGCACATTATATGTGTTTATATTTAAAGTAAAAAATATTAACTAGTTATTTTTTATTTCACAGAAAATAAAAAGGATAATATAAAAAAAATGTTAACTGAAACCAAGTTTTTCTTTAGATTAAAGGTTGGCAGACTTTCTCTGTAAAGAGCCAGATAGTAAATATTTTAGTTACATCATCTTTTTCTTTCTTTCTTTTTTTTTTTACAATACTATAAAGATGCAAAAATCATTCATAGCTCAAGGGCATATAAAAACAGGGCCTACACTGCAAACCCTACTGTAGATTAAGTTCTACTTAAACTTAGATTTTATTTCAACAAAATTTTAGCAATGGGCAGAAACCCAAATTGTATTTTGTATTAAAAAAAAAGAAATTGGACTTTCAAGACATATTGGTATGGATTTGAATCCTGCTTCTATTCTTTACTGGCTCAGTAACTGGGGTAAGTTAACTACTCAGATGTTCAGCTTTCTCATATGTAGAATGAGACCAATGCTACCTGGCTGGGTGATTGATTGGGTTTAATGAAATGATTTTTGAAAGGTATTTTGCTCAGTGATTATCACATAATTAGAACCTCAACAAATGTTAGTTCCTTTCTTTCCTTCCTTATCTTGTTTGACATGTCCCAGCCTTTTCTTTCTTATTTTGAATAGTTCTAACACAATTCTATACTGTGTATTTCCATTAAGTTATCTTTGTAGAAACTCTCACTTTGACCTAATTTGAGACAAAATAATTTGTCAACACTTCGTACAGGCTATTGGCTTCTTCTACATCAAATCTCTACCCACCAAATGCAATCATCCTAAATTTCTTTATTAATGCTTTACAACCTATAATTTTAAAATATTGATAGATTCTAGTAGTAAAATTTTCATGAGAAATTTAGAGAATTTAAATCTCACTGAACCTACAAAAATATAAATATTTATAATCATAGGCTATACTTGTAGGTAAAAATACAAACTAAAAAAAAATAGATATATGTAGTAGGGTGAAGATAGATAGTTGTTTGTTTTGTTATTTTGTTCAGTAGCCTTCTGTGATTGTTTGACTTCAACCTACAGCTCTATTAAGACCACCAATTATGCACCCAATATTGGAGCACCTAATATATAAAGCATATATAAACAGATCTGAAGGGGAAAATAGACAGGAATACATTAACGATCAGGGGCTTCAATACCCCACTTATGACAATGGATAGATTATTCAGACAGAAAATAAATGGGAAAACATTGGACTTAAACTGCATGTTAAATCTGATGGACCTGATAGACATACAATACATTCCATCTAACAACAGAATGCACATTCTTCTCAGGTGCACATGGAGCAATCTTTAGAATAGATCTTGTTAGGGCACAAGTCTTGGTAAATTTAAGAGGATTGACATCGTATCAAGCATCTTTTCTAACCACAGTGATATGAAACTTGAAATCAGTTACAAGATGAAAACTGTAATATTCACAAATATGTAGAGCTTAAGCAACATGCTCCTGAACAACCAGTATGTTAAAGAAAAAATCAAAAGGGAAATAAAAGAAATACCCTCGACAAATGGAAACACAGCGTTCCAAAATTTATGGGATGCAGCCACAGCAGTTCTAAGAGGGAGGTTTATAGCAATAAACTCCTACATTAAAAAAAAAGAAAGATCTCAAATAAAACAATCTAACTTTACACATAAAGGACATAGGGAAAGGTCAAATCAAGCACAATGCTATTAAAGGGAAGAAAATAATTTCAGAGTGAAAGTAAGTGAAACGGAGACTAATAAGATAATAGAAAATATCAATGAAACTGAACTGTTTTAGTGAAAAAAAAACACACACAAAAAAAATCCAAAAAACAAAATAGACAAACCTTTAACTAAACTAAGAAAAAAAGAAGACCCAAATAAATGAAGTCAGGAATGAGAGAAGAGACATTACAACTGATAACACAGATAAGAATCATAAGAAGCCAAAACCGGTTTGGCTCAGTGGATAGAGCATCGGCCTGCGGACTGAAAGGTCCCAGGTTCGATTCCGGTCAAGGGCATGTACCTGGGTTGCCTCCCCCAACCTCCCAGCAAGGAAAAGTCCTTTCTCAAGGACCTTGGAGTCATTCCTTTAAAATGCAATCTTTAAGAAACATTGTGCTGCTATCCCTTCAATCTCTGAAGGAGGGAAGCGCCTAAGCACAAATTAACAAACATAGGTAACCTAGCTACTTTGGCCAACCTCCCCTAATATCCTCCAGTACTTTTCACTAGCCTGCCCCAGCGCTTAAAAACTTTCCCACCTTTGTTTCAGTAGAGTTGAGTTTAATCTATCTCGCCTATTGCAGTGGCCTTGAATAAGGTCTGTGTTGTCTTTTTAGCATGTGCAGTGCAGTGCAATTTCCCTCCAACAGTGACCGAGAGTGAAAACTCTGGAGTCAGACTCTGGCTCCATTTTACTGCACAAGCCACATAATCTCACTAAGCGTCAGTTTGCATGTGTGAGCTGGAGAGGATGCCACCTTACATGCAGGATTTCTGTGGAGGATGGCATGGACCAATGAATGTAAAGCTCTTAGCATGCGCTGATGTAAATTAAGTACTCCATGAAGTTTAATGTAGGTGTTATTGTTTTGGCTAATGACTACATGAAAAGCTTCTTGATGCTCTTTTTTATTTTTAAGAAAACTACTCTAGTGTAATATATATTTCTGTTTTGCTAAATTATCAATATGTACATTTCTGGGATATCTACTTTGTAAAGTGAAGTCTATCAATTTAGTTCTTGAAATAAATAAAGATAAAAAATGCATCATAAATAGTGAAAGCAAGCAGCCAGTTGCACATCTGATCCTGAAGTCTAGTTACATAGAGCAGAGGGATCAGTTACTTCTGAGACCATGTAGAGAAACAGCATCTGTGGGCGAGAGACAAAACTGAAATACCATGTTTTCAGATACTAGCAAGCTATGTTCTCCAACAAATGAAGAAAACTCTGTGCTGTTTACATTTTGAAGTTCAAAATACCTCCTACTTACGCTATCCTAAAACCAAGACCTTACAGAAACTAAAAGATAAATGCTTTTAATAGATATATTTTAAAATGCAAGTTTTATTTATTTTTATTCTTTTAGATCTATTTTTATTGATTTCAGAGAGGAAGGGAGAGGGAGAGAAACATCAATGATGAGAGAGAATCATTGATCAGCTGCCTCCTGCCCACCCCACACTGGGGATCGAGCCTACAACCCAGGCATGTGCCCTGACCAGGAATCGAAACAATGACTCCCTGGTTCATGGGTTGACGCTCAACCACTGAGTCACACAGGGTGGGCTAAAGTACTGGTTTTATAATACTCTATTGTCTTATAGCTACATCATGAAATGTTGCCTCAATCCACAAATTTTAAAGAAATATGTGAAACAACACATTTTAAAAGTTGAAAATGCTTTCTTTGGGTGGAGGGGGAGCATGGTAACAGATAGTTGGGGACGACTATATTTTGACTTCATGTCAGAATAAATATCTAGTCATAATAGTTTCTGTTCATACAGTTTCTGCTGTATCTGTAAAACTATGTGTCCTATCTCTTTCTCACTCCAAAGTAATCTGAGAAAAATTCACTTGAATTGACTTCTGACATTTATCAATTTATATTCTGTTTGGGAACCCTACTTGCAATTCTGACTGACTTACAAATTCTGACTGACTTGCAAAGATTACAGTGATGCTATGGGTCGGACTGAATGGCAGAATACTGCATTGACGTTCCATTCTTAAATCCAACATGCTGGTGTGTTTTTTGAGTCATTACCTCTTACGATCTTTCCACTATTTGTATACTTCCTGTTCATGGAAACTCCTGTAGACGTTCCATTCTTAAATCCAACATGCTGGTGTGTTTTTGAGTCATTACCTCTTACAATCTATTCGCTATTTTTATACTTCCTGTTCATGGAAACTCCTGTAACATTAAGTTTGTATATTTAGATTGTTTGCCCTGATCTCCCCCTCCCTGCTTGAAACAGTTTTATGTTACAGAGAAGGGGTTACAAGAAAAGGCCGAGCCCCATAAGCTGCATGAATACAGATAAAAAGGTAGGTTATGGTCTATGATGTCTAGATGCCTACCTGGAGGGGAGGGAATTTGGGAGCAAAATAAAAAGACTAAAACTCTAAGTCAACTCAGAAACAAGATATGCCTATGATGAAGTAAGGTTTGAAACTGGAAAGTTAGTTGTTATGGTCCTCAGTTGTATCTGTTTTATCCTAAGGCACCATTTGGTTTAATACAAATGTAGGTATAAGACTTCTTAACCTAACAGTTTCTTAAGACTTAATGATAAAGGTTACATTTCAGAGGCTGAAAGCATGGTTCATTTGTCTTCCAGGTTTATCTTGCAGATTACGGACTTGCCTACAGATATTGTCCCAACGGGAACCACAAACAGTATCAGGAAAATCCTAGAAAAGGCCATAATGGGACAATGGAGTTTACCAGCTTGGATGCCCACAAGGGTGTAGGTAAGTTTTTTTTTCTTATTTTTATTTCACAAGAATAATTACAGAGTAATAAGACTCTATGAAATGACCTTTGTGAGATTTTGTCTGCCAGTGACTATTTGTCTTATTGGGGTAGGGGGGGGAGGACTATGACAAGTGAGAAAAAAACACAAGGGTGTCAAGGAAGCAAAGCTTGATGCTTATTTTGGGCAGGAAATGACTAGTTTGTGTAGATTTAACTTGGAGGTCAGCACTGAACTTTCGTGCTTGTAGTGAAGAATACAGATTTGGTAAAGAATTTGGTGAAGAATTGTTCCTGTTTTTCATTGTGCCCTTATCAGAGCTTTGGAAGATACCATCTCTCAACAACAAGAAAATCTCTTCTGAAACTATAAAGTGTTAATTTGTGGAAATCTCTCCTAGTCGCCTTTCATATATCTTACTTATTTAAACTCACTTTGATGGTATTGGAAACACATTTGCAGGTAAATTACATACATAGTCCTTTTATTGGATATTGATTGTACTGCCTTGCATTCCAGGGCAGACTTAATTCAACAATTCCCTAATTAGTTAAAGTCATAACCTATGTCTTGTATTCATTTACCATTAATTAAACCTTAGCTGTTTATTACACTGCAGTCCAAATCCAATAGCCGACCCAGAAAGCCATGGAAAAGGAAGTAGGAGGTCAATATTGAAAATATATGGTGCAGAGTCCCACTGATGGTTGCTTTGTTCACAATCAATATGGTCAATGCAACTGTACTTTCTTAGTTGCTCTGTCAGCAAGACAAAAAGTCAATTCTAATGTTATGCTAGTAAAAAAAGGGGTGATTATTGAAAAACTTTGGCTTTCAAAATTATATTCCTTAAACTTTGTTTATAAAAGTATTTTCAAGTTTGCCAAGCCATACAAATAATTATAAACAGCTTGGAAAGATCCACATTTTCACTAAAAGGCAATTAGACATTTGCACTTGTTAATGACTGGTGAACTGTTACCCTAAACTGAGACTTTCTAACGAGTTTTAGTTGGTGCAAACAACTGTATATTATTGCCTTTTCTATTAAAAGGACCATTGACCATGTAATGTAGAGGGGTCTTGATCATTTTCCAAAGCAATTAAAACCCACCCCAGTTTAAGGTACGCCAGTGCAAAAGTGAGACAAGTGTGTTGGATGGATACTGTCTTTCTTTCAGGAAGAATCATAGGTTAAATTTATGAAATGGAAATTAGCTTTGATACTTTGGATTAGAGTAAAATAAATCACTACATTACTTTTCAAGGGTAGTTTGGTTAGAAAAGTAATGATCACTCAGAAATTAAGAAATCTGTATTTTTTCACCATTTACATTGTGAATGAATCAGTGAACATTCAAAAATATAAATGGGGCATGGTTTTAATTAAATTAAGAAATATAAGAATCAAATGCTCATTGATAGTGGGTTCTTGTTCAATTTAAAGTTCTTTACTCTCAGTGAATTTTCTTCTTCACTTTTGCCAGATTCATTACTGTGAAAGAATTTACAAGAATCTGGGAGGAGTAGTTTTTTGATAGTGGTATAACTGGAAATTCATCATACAGATTCTTAAGTATTGCTCTGATTATGTTAATGACTAGAGGTCTAGTGCACGACATTTGTGCACTGGGGGTGGTGGAGGGGGAGGTACCTTAGCCCAGCCTGCGCCCTCTTGCAGTCCAGGAGCCCTCAGGGGGCCTTAGCCCTCAGTGGGACATCTTTAGTGCTGCTGTGGAGATGGGAGAGGCTCCTGCCACTGCCGCTGGCTTCTGGCTCAGCAGAGCTCCCCATGTGGGAGCACACCGACCACCAGGGGGCAGCTCCTGTATTGAGCGTCTGACCCCTGGTGGTTAGTGTGCGTCATAGCGACCGGTCGTTCTGCCGTTTCACCATTTACATTGTGAATGAATCAGTGAACATTCAAAAATATAAATGGGGCATGGTTTTAATTAAATTAAGAAATATAAGAATCAAATGCTCATTGATAGTGGGTTCTTGTTCAATTTAAAGTTCTTTACTCTCAGTGAATTTTCTTCTTCACGTTTGCCAGATTCATTACTGTGAAAGAATTTACAGGAATCTGGGAGGAGTACTTTTTTGATAGTGATATAACTGGAAATTCATCATACAGATTCTTAAGCATTGCTCTGATTATGTTAATGACTAGAGGTCTAGTGCACGACATTTGTGCACTGGGGGTGGTGGAGGGGGAGGTACCTTAGCCCAGCCTGCGCCCTCTTGCAGTCCAGGAGCCCTCAGGGGGCCTTAGCCCTCAGTGGGACATCTTTAGTGCTGCTGTGGAGATGGGAGAGGCTCCTGCCACTGCCGCTGGCTTCTGGCTCAGCAGAGCTCCCCATGTGGGAGCACACCGACCACCAGGGGGCAGCTCCTGTATTGAGCGTCTGACCCCTGGTGGTTAGTGTGCGTCATAGCGACCGGTCGTTCTGCCGTTAAGGTCAATTTGCATATTACCCTTTTATTATATAG